GTAAGTGTTTCTTTAAATATTAACACTTCGTAGAGGTTTTACAAAAGATAAGTGTTGAGGCAGGGTTACAAATAAAAGACAACCCATATAATCCTGCGCCCCGTCGGCTATCAAATGCATCATGTATTGACGGAACATTTTTATACTAAAACGACCACATATTGGCTAATCATTTGTAGATATGTAGACTGAGTCTTTGCAAACCAACCACCAGTTAAAGCAGTTACTTTTAGTCTGTGTTTTCTCTAGTAGCTAAAGATGAATACGAATATACATGTCTTTCCATCTCCAGCACACAGATAGTAATACCCACTTAGAATGACTTATAACTCAACTCTTCTAACAGCAATAGCATCCACAGGTTTGAATACTTCTCAGTGTCGTTCGTCAAACATGCTGGGATGTCAAATGAAGGCCAATGTATGAACGAGTGTCCTCACAATGGTAAATAAGATGCTGACAAAAGCTGAGTTGGTGATGAACCAGCGTTTCCGCCAGGGGGGGGCGTCTTGCCGTCATTTGATGCTCTTATTCAGCCCTGAACTCGAGCCGAGGGCGTCCAAAAAAATAAATAATTTGAGAGTTTTTATCGCTTGAAATGACGAAAAGGAAAAAGGACAAGGACATCGCTCTGTTGGAGGGGCAAAGGGTTATTTTCGCCGCCAGCAAAGTGCGTTCCTGTGACGGAAAAAACCGCTGCATCTCCCAAGAACCATGCCAGGAGGGGTGTCCCTGTCGGCAGGGAGACGTAAAGAGATAGTATAAGGGACGTGACACGACGTGACGTCCCCCCCCCTGCTCTCGGGGTGGACGCCCTTTCAGCCCTGGTCTAGCGGAAACACTGGGATGAAATGTCTCAGGGTATGAGATCAACATGCGGCAGAGCACGGGCTTACCACGTCTCTCTCTGGGGACCCGGGGCGGGATCCTGGAAGACCGTTCTTGGTTGGCGTTTTAGCTTCTTTCTTTGGGAACTGAAGCTTCTTCATGTCCAGCCGGTCTCCTGTGACCCACTCATCCAGGCGCTTGTTGACTTATAACGCAAACAAGAAGGCATTAGCTGTCAGTGTCATTTCATTGAGTCTGTAAAATGACTGTTACAAGTAAAGTTCCTCAGAAGAAACAAGAAGTGACACAAGCTATACTCACAGTCAATGTAGTGAACATAGTAAAGCTTTCTCGAGGACACTTCCTTCACGCTTAGAATTTCAGCCAATGCTGCGAGGAAAAAGTAGATATGTCAAATAAAACAAAGGTTATTTCAATTAACAAAATGATTGTGATAGACTTCAATGAAATAGCTGGTAAAACGTTGTGGATCTACCATCATGCTCAACAACAATTCCTTACTGTGAAATAGATCTAAGGCGACACAAGGTACTAAAAATACTGCGGAAATAATTGAAATATAAAAAAGAAGACTTAGCCTCACTTGCATACTTCTATGGTTATGATGGACCCTTGCTCTTGATCAAATCTTGTATGGAAAACAGGCAAATTAATTGTATTGTAATGTATCTGCAGCCCAGCTCAACTCGTTTGTCAGTTTGGATGCATTTGATAAGATCGAGCTTTATTGTCTCCCTTAGGAAAAATGTGTCTTGGACATCGAGATAATACACATAAAACATTCAGGTCAATCAGTCATAGATACAGAACAGAGATCACGTATCACATGGCAAAGAAACAAACAAGAAACATACAGGTTCAGCACTTTCCCTATTGCACATACATAATCAAATATTGCACTTTCCCTATTGCACCTATGCATAGTGTCCGTCAAATTGCACATATCCCTATTGTGTCCATACCTATTTACACATAATGCACTTCCCCTATTTAACCTTCTCGATTGCACAAACTACACTGTAAACATTGCACCTCCCAACAACTCCTAACAGCATAATCACAATTGTTTGTGATTTGCTTATATAACGTCTACGGTGTGTTGAACAATATGGTTTTAAGTGAGTTTTATGTGTCCAACCATACCTACGGGTCAGTGGTATGGCCATTATCATATATTTGATTTAAAAAACATTCAATTAAGAAGGTGAAAGAAAAAAAGAATTGATACACAAATGATGTATGACACATTCTTGTTTTAAACTTTTAGATTGCATATGAGTGGATAGTTATACCTCTATTATACATTGATTTAAATAAAAATAAGATCACAAATCCCAATGCTCATCTAGACACATGCAACCTGTAACAGGGGGGAAGTAAACACAACCTTAAGCTAAAACGTTTGACAAGCACCGCCAAAAACAAACTTCAACATGAGGTTGAAACTTGTGTCAAAGGGTCAAATCGTGTGTATTTCTTTGTGTTTTGCTGAGATGTTAGGAGGACCTTTCTGAAGCTTAACAATGACAGTTAACTGAGAAAGTGTTACTGGAATACCAGACTGATTTTTATGTGGCTCTAACTTTTCTCATCTTTCGACCTATCATAACAAATAAGAGCACTTAAACTCTTTTGAGTGAGCCAAACTGCATTCAAAAAACCAAACACATCACCTGAAAAATCCGTTTTACATTTGTAAACAACAGCCTGCTGTCAGGTGGATTTCGCTCAAGTAAGTCTTTCACAACAAAGTAGTTTATAAAAATGTCCCTGGGAGCTAGCTAGCTAGTATAATACGGATTTACTAGTGGCTCTGGCAAGTATTTAAGTTAACTAGAGTCACATTGCAAAGCGACATGTGTGCCCCGTGTGTTTACACCGCTCCGACTGAGGCCGTCTGATAACAACAGCTGAGGTCCGCTAGTTAGCATTAGCTAGCTTAGCACGGGAAAACAACCGCACATTACTTACGCCATTCGTCTTCGTGTTCCTGGTTTTTACGAAGAACGGGGAGGCGGCAGCCCTCAACGATATCCACCTGTCAGAAATAACATGTTAATTTGCACCCTGAAAGTGGTCAATGGCTCTAAAATAAAATAATATGGCTCGAAAACCTACCGATGATGCGTTGTCCGCCATTTTCGTCATCTGTGAGAGCAGCAGCAGGGTGTTGTGGGAAAATGCCGGTCCACAACAAAGACGACTTAAACAGCAAGATGAAGCTCGTTCAACCTACCCGGAGACCGGAAGTCGTAAAACCAAACCGGAAAAAAGAAGCAGGGGATTTCTCTCTATGAACATCCATGTTTTAAGGGTTTTTACTCTTTGTTCACTGCGATTTATTTACATATACATCTCAATATATATTTTGTATCAATCCTTCCTTTTCTTTCTTTCTTTGGATAACATATATATAGTATTATTATTATTATTATTATTATTATAATCTGTGATATTTTTGATATGTGAAGTAAACGCTATTTTCAACACACTTGCAAACTTCCATTTACCCTTGTATACATTAAATACTGGGGTCCTTTGCGAAGAAAATGGGCAACATTTGATGAAAGGGTAATTAATCATTTGTGGAAAACAAATGTACATTTCTTTAACAACATTTCAATGATAGTCAATTCAATATCTTTAATCTGTCCAAAAGCTGGCCCACCTTGAAAATTGGAAACGGACATAGCCTATAGAGATAACCAGGCTTAGCAATACAATGGTGATACAGTCACATACCAAACAGAAAGATAGGTGACAAGAAAGAAGTGGCCATTATTATTATATTTTTGGTGGAGTTCTCAGACCTGATCTGTTTCCACTGAGTGTGTTCACTACTCTGGGACAATCTTTAGATAACTAAAACCAGGCCAATACATTACATTTTACATATTCACCCTCACACATACTGCTTAGGCACTTTCTTTGACAACTTGATGAAGTCCTGTATTATTTTCAAGATGGATAGTATACACTTCTCGCCAGTAGGGGTCCCTCTTGTCTACAAGCCAATCAAGCCCAGAGGAAAACAAATAAACAGGCTTTGAACAGAAGGTGACCTCCACAATGACTTTCACTGACAACATTAATTAGGGCATAATACACAGCTTAATGAAGATTAAGATATTAATAAGATCGTATGGGTTCTGAGTCTGAATAACATCCATGGATACATAAATCCATAACGACTTAATATTTATTTGAAGTTTTCAATTTTGATTTTGCCATTTTATCTCCCCAAATCTTTCTGCAACAATAGATGCAGCTCATGGTTTAACACAGAAAGCTAGTGTCCTAACATGACCCAATCTGTCTTTTTATATGAAGCTCCTGTGAGAGTGTAGAGAACAGCAATGTGATTACAAAAATCAATCAAATCTTTCTTAAAGTCCCATTGCCTTTCTTTTGTAACCTGCTCTCCGCTTCCTCGTGTAATGATGAATATAAGTTATTTATGAATACACTGCTTCACCACTATATAATAGAGGCATTATTCACATTTGCAGAAGTACATCCCTCTCAGTATGCGGCATTGTGTTTGCTGCTCTTGCAATCATCAGGACAATGGTGCCTTTCGGGATGAAAATGCTTTAAATAAGTGAGCTTTCTGGTTTTTGGAGATACTGACACCCAGCTTTCCCTTTTTTTAAAAGAATACTTCTCATAATATTTGATTCATTTAATTAAATTGACAAGAATAGTGCTTACATTATAAAGTAAGAGTTGTTTGCTGTAATAAAGGAGATGTTTTCATATTAATACATTAAACCCCAACCAAGCTTCTGGTTTCAGACAGAGGGTGAAAAGAGGTGCTGCAGCAAAGGCGGTGTGAGAATAAAGAAGCAATTTTTTTAACTTTAAAGCATGTTAACTTGGCACAAAATATGAACCTAAAAATGAGCATTAAAGGCCCCTAAATTCCATAGTACATCAGCGCCCTAAGTGTGTATGGAGAAACTGTAATTAAGTACTGCACATACACTTGTGATATATGATCGACCAAACAACAAATGACCAAATAGATATCCACTTAATTATCTTTGTGGCCTTGTATATCCCATAGACTGTATATATAAAGGTATATCCTCACAAATGAATTCAGTCTGATGTTTGAGCGAATCATCTCACTGAGCAAGGGCAAAGGTTATAAATTATCTTTATTATAATCCTTGGAACAGCGTTCAGTATAGAGAACTTGCATTTTTTTATTTTATGAAACCATTAGTTAATCTGTAAATGATAAACAAAATATATAAAACAAAAATAAAAAAGACAGTCAGTGTTAAACAGCCTTCCAACACTTATATTCAACCAGACCATCGAAACGTTCTGTAGGATTAGCCTGCATATAATCATTAACCATGCATGTTAGAGTGCACTGTCAGGTGGCTTATTATGGCAAACAGGTGAAATAGTGACATGATAATTCAAAGTGTGAAAAAGCATCGAACATACGCTCATCAGCTGCATCCTGCACACTTCCACAATACTGCTCTCATGTGATTTTCTCCACTGGAGCTAAATCATATTTGTCAGTGATCACTTTTATGACCTGGAAATGACAATGGAAAATCTTAAGAAACAATTTCAGGATAGATTGAAAATCCAATTAGCAGGAAAATCCAGTTGGATTTAAATGACTCCAAACATTGTGGGTGACTTTTCAGAGCTAATTCTTTGGCCAGAAACGTAATGAGAACATTTGCTGAGAGATGAACCCTCTTCTTTTCACATTTCGCAGCAGAGGAAGGATCATTTGTGTTCTTCTTTGGTGCCACAGTCCTTAAGACCTGAGGCCGAGACGTTCCCAGACTTGTTAATGACTGCAACGCTGCTAATTATCCCTGCTTTTCTCCAGGGTTCGAGTTCTTTATCTTCCTCATGCAAAGTCATCCTTGCAGGTCTGCTACCAACACTTGAGCTTTTCGTGTCATTTGTGGAAGAATAAAACACATATCTGCTGTAATGGCCCTAAAAGTCACTTTATGCAACTTTTATACATTTTCCTGCACTAACTTGAGAACTTTGACAAAGTCGGACATTAAAGTGACAAAATATTACTACTATTTCAGCTTATTCAGACCCGTCTACAGTACGTTTTAATATTATTGTTCTGCTTCTGTCCCTCTAATTAGACCTAAAACATAACCAAAGATGAGAAAGAGACAGACTGCATGATTCCCTTCATGAAAACACCATTGGATGGTTATTGCACATAATAAAACTGTTAGGAACAAAAAAGACTCAAATCAAGCTCTCAGTAAAAAACATATGACTGATGCCACAGCAGTGGGAGGTATAACTATATCACAATATTAACTATTGCTATTAATGACAGAATCCAGACGTCACCAGGACTCCACCTGCTGAACAGTGAAGCAGATCAGCGATCACTGCTCTCTCTCCAGTCTGTTTCTAAAGAGACCGCCACTCTCTTCAGCTACATAATTATACATTTGTCTCTTGTTAATCCGTCTTCCTTCCAGCACATTTCACACATTTTCTACATTACATTCTCACTCCTGATTCTTTTTCTTTTTGTATCTGCACCAGTGACGCACTCTGTTCCAGATATTCTAAAAATGTTCAGCAGAAAGCAGAGTATTTGCATCTCCACGGCAGGTTACATTTGGATGAGAAAAAGGAAATCGTTACACTTTACCCCGAAATGTACTATTTCATAATTCCTAATTTGGACATGCAACATTCGGTTGCTGTTTTCCCGTTATACTATCAAGCAGCGCTCATCATCACGTAGATATATACAAATCAAATAAAATAAATAATAATAATAACATACATTGAAAAGTGCAAATGTACATTTGTTTACAGCATGACATACTCACTGTACAATCATTGATTATATACCCACATTGTTTTATGCATTATAATAAGGAATACTAAGTAGCATAGTTTAAGTAAGAAATATTTCAAAGCAAGTCTATTGGAAAATATTTGCATTGCCCTGCAACAAGGAGAGGCTCTTCTAAACATTGCCAAGTGTGTGTGTGTGTGTGTGTGTGTGTGTGTGTGTGTGTGTGTGTGTGTGTGTGTGTGTGTGTGTGTGTGTGTGTGTATGTGTGTGTGTGTGTGTGTGTGTGTGTCTTTGTGTGGGTGTGGGTGTGTGTTGACATATGGATGTATGTGCAAACAATGAAGCAAAGGAAACTCAAATCATTCTATTTCAGAGGCACGAAAAACTGCCCAGCCAGCGGTTCAAGATATCTAGCATTGTTTGGGACAACGCACATCTGTCAGACGTCAGCAAAGCAGAGGGAAAGAGGAGTTCAGCGAGGAGGCAGCTAAAGAGTCATACAATGAGAATGAGTGGAAACAAGCAGTTCAAAAAACTGTGTCGAAAGAGTGACACCGATTAGACTTTTTTTTAACCATAACAGCTTGCACTTCGCCTCCATCTCTCTGTGCAGCAGCTTTCTGTCAGGCTGGAAACAGCAGTCATGCTTGCTTTCTGAATGCTTCCACGATGATGGCGAACGTGTTATATTAAGGTAATGAATCACAGGCCTGGGTTCTACCACCGTCAATGGTAGGGCTGCAACAATGATTCAGTGGTTTGTTGAAGTCTCATTCTGTAAAGAAAAGCCATACCGGTCAACGTCCTGGTACCTGATGAGATGTTTCTACAGAAGAGCAAGACAGGTTTTCTGTTCTGGCACTGTGAGTTTGCTTTTCCTGATGGCATTTTGAGGATGTCCGTCTTGAGATCTGGTTCCTTGATAGGTGCTGATGTGGAGTCGGATGTTATGATTGTCTTTTCAGGCATTGGATTGAGAAGCTACATGATATTGGACACTCCGGCACCAAGGTGGTGGTACTATGGCTCCCCATAAACCCGGAGGCTTCAGCTTATGATTCATGTGGCACTTTCTTGGACTGGCCGCAATTTCTCAGTCTAAAGAGACATGCTTTTTGTTACTTTGTTGGGTATTCTGTTCGTGTATAGCGCAGATACACAATAGTTTCAGAAGGTAATGGTGATTTTAAAAATACTATTACCTGTAGGATAAGGGATGTTCCCTTTCTTCCAAAAACAAACCGTTTAAAAGATAATATTACACTGTACAGTTTGGTGTTGCAGCACAGCTTCGGATGTTTTTGTATGAGCTGGACTTGTGTATGTCTTTGTACATGTACTGTATGAAAGTTTGAGACAAAGAATGAAGACATTATATGTTACTATCTCACACTGGTGGGATATGTGCAAGTATCCAAATCCATCCGCCTCCGGACGTCTTAACGCTCTGACTTGACCTTGTAGCGCAGAACCAGGTAAGTTGCCAGTCTGAGGGCCAAAAAGAAACCCCCCAGCACAATGAAGTCGACGTAGAGCTTTGCATCCGCCACATTCAGCAGCTGCAGGACCTCCTCCGGTTTTTGGAACTTACACACCACGCCCGGGCACTCCAGCTCCGACCGGTTCATCCCGTAGATGGAGAGTATCACCCCCTCAAAGCCGTACCTGAGAGTGGAAATGGTTAACTTGTGAACCTAGGTTCGTTCAAAGAGAGTTGTGTCACATCATAGAAAGCCTGACCACTAAGATCAATGGGCAAAGTGAATTTAGCAACTCTTTTCAAATGCAATAAGTTGATGACAGTACCTGACATAGGAAACATACGAGCTCCACTGTAGGTATTTGGGAATGGTGTCAAAATTGACAAAGAAACCAGAGAAGAGGAGTACTGGTATGGCTGTGACTGGACCCACAAAGGTTGCCACCTGTGGAACAAATGCGTAATATTTAATAAAAAACTGACATAGTGAAACATCTTGTCAATATATACTTATATAATGTGTTTCTCTGCCGCTAAAGTAATGAGTTATATTACTATGTTACTTCACCATCGTAACTCATCAGCTGTCCCTCACTTCAGCAGATAAATATTAAAACATTATAATAATAATAATAATAATAATAAGAGATGGGATTTGTATAGCACTTTTCCTAATGCTCAAAGACGCTTAAATAAAATCAGAACAGAAACAAAACAAAGAAAACATAAACAACAACAATGTGACACAATTACTGGACATAAAATACACACCGTTTCCACACATTCATGTAAATATATCTAATATGTATATATGACCCAACATGTATATATGCTCATTTTAATTAATCTCTTATTTCATCGTTTTTTATCATGTTTTTATATGTATCTTTGATTTTATCTTCAATTATATTAATCTGTGTGAATCTGGGCTGTCCTGTTTTTCATTCTTACCCTATATTTATATAAGGTCCATCTTATCTTATCTTATCTTATCTTAAACAATAGTCATTAATAGTCAGAACATTCTTCTTGTGTCAAACTGCACATATATTACATTTCACAGTGAAGGTCAAACACCAAAGTTAAAGTGGACCTATCATGCTATATTTGAATAATATATTGTAGGGCCATACCTATATAAAACATGTCTGTGAAGTTTTTTTTTCAAAATACCAAACAGATTATGCATTTTAGCCATGCCTCATTTCGCTCTATTTGCTCTTTTCCAGCCCTGTTTTTGCAAGGGCTAATTCTGTGGCAAATGAGCTGCAGCTGACCACGCCCCCCTGCAAAGGAAGGGGGCGAGGCACGAGCGTCATGTTACCATGCTGTTACCATGCTGTTACCATGCCAGGCAACCTCTCATTCCCCTGATAGGTGGAGAGTTGCCCATATAGGCGGAGCACCCCGTTTCTGACGTTAGAACAATTTCAAATCTGTATCAGTCTGTATCAGATCCGTTGCAGCCACGTTTTTAGAGATTTGGTTATGGAGGAAAGGAGAGAGGGTTGTGTTTTCTGACACTTGGTGAGTTCCCTGACACACCGGGGACACATATTCATGTGTAAAAGACGTACAAAAGTGCATTTTGCATGATAGGTCCCCTTTAAGTAACGAAAAACCAAACATATGTGTATAGGAAGGGGACTTTAAGCCTACCTGCAGAGATGAAGATGCAGCCCCTATAAGCAGACCGAGGGATTGGGCCACCAGGGCCGTGGAAGTGGACAAAGCCATAAAGAGGAGGAAGCGACTCGCCTCTGGAGGCTGCTCAGTCATCCAGTAAACAATACTACAGTACAAGATCGGACAAATCACCTGTAGAAGAGATTGTGTAGTTTGAAAAACACTGTACTCCAATGTCCAAACCATTGTGTGCACAGTTATACGATCATTACCTGGAACGGTATGTCAGCCATGGTTTTGGCCAAGTAATAGGCTTTCAGGCTGTACCAGTAGTTGAGATGTTCCCGCATGAACACGGACATCTCCAGAGGAACTGGGGAACAGCAGCAGCATTAAAAGACTTCAACAAGAACACTGCAAATCAAAGTTTCCAAACTCTCAAGAGACAGAGCATCTTACATGTTAGGATGGTGGGCATCAGGGCAGCAAACATGAGGAACAACATGGAGAAAAAGAGGAAGCCAGTGTTGTTGAACACCTTGCTGGCATCATTTCCAATCTTGAGATAAAGCAAGCCAATCAGCACTCCAATAAAAATATGGGACATCACCCTTAGGTGGGTCAGCACCTTGAAAACGCACAAACAAACCAACATCAGCACGACTGAAAAGCCCTTAATTGATTGATTATTTTATAACAGTGTGAGTTTGAGCAGGGATAGTTTATATATAATTATTATTACCATGTCCCTGCATATCGTAATGAAGGTTCTTTTGAAGAGGATGCAGAACTGTGTGAATGTACTGGTAGCAAAGCTATGTTTCTCAAGGGTTCCTGTCTCCTGTGGAGAGAAATGGGGACAGCGAGGAGTTCGTTATGTAATACACACTCGATACGAGAAAACTGTTAGCAATACAGATCAAAGAGAACATCATACCCTTTCTTACGGCACATTGCAAACAGTGGAAGAATATAAATAGCCTGATATTTAATGCACACATCTGCAACACACTCTAAGTGATGATAAACGGCAGATATTTTTAGCGGGAGAGGAAAGCGACCAACGTTATTATAACATCTGAAATTAGCATTCAAAGACAATATAAAAAAAACACCATAATTCCTGCGCAGAAAAATCCAGATAGAAAGAAAGGGCAACAGAGAAAATCCATAAATTGACGATATGTTTAAAGCACTAACAGGGCAACACGGCACCATGCAGGAGTAATGTATATCAAAGTGCTCTTGGTGGTTTACATTTACCATTTTAGCATTTAGCTGATGCTCTTATCAAAAGTGATCTACGAGGTGGAGAAAGAAAGAGTGAGAGGAAGCTGAGCGAGGCGGAGGAGACGGATCGATAGAGTGGAGCAGAGGAACAGTTTGGATATAGACAGGAAAGAATTACGGGTGTTTTGTTCTGTAAAAACGTATGTGAACCCCAAAAGTGTTGTGATACGAGTACTGTAGGTCTAAATGGATGCATCCAATGCTATTATGTGTAAATGCATGGTAGGCAAAAGGGTCTCTTTTCACCCTCTGTCTGAATCCAGAGCCCATTCTGCTCTGATTGGTTAGCTGGCTCTGTTGTGATTGGTCAATGGCTTAAAAATGTCCCGCCCCTTAACGTATCACATACAATGTAGCGGAGCGCTAGCCAATAGCGCGAGTGTTAAATAGTGATGTCATTATGTTACAGAAGTAATAGGAGTCAAATGGAGGCTGGGGAGAGAAACGTTGGGATTTTAGCCTTTACAGACATGCACAAAAACCTATATAACACACTACAGGAAAGAGAAAACCCCAAAAGCGTAAAAGAGTCCCTTTGAATAAAACATAAAGGTGTGTTACTTGAAGAGAAGGGTGGTTTTACTCACACTGGGACATGTCGAGGGACATGAGGAGTCACTTTTGTCTCCGGAGTTCTTCTTGCTCTGATCTGAGCACAGTCCACCCTGGACCGCCTCGAACAGAATTGAATTCAGATCCCCATACTCCCCTGACGCCACCTCGATGACTGTGGACGGAGAGGACACGATGGTCAGAACAACAACACACACAGACACACACGTACGTAAGGAGATGCTTGACTTACTGAAGTCAGCAGGATTGTGATATGTCGGGCAGTGGAGGCCCAGGCTCTTCAGATAAGGGATGAGGTAAGGGACCGTGCCCTTGTATATGCACTGACCCTGACTGAGGATGTACAGCTGGTGAGGGAACACAGGTACACAGTAATCAACATTGTTTCCAACACACTGACTCTCTGAATAATATATGAACGACTGACAAAACAACAGGCCTGCGGGCTGCGTATCGACTCCTGCGCAGCTGGACAAAATGAATCACGCTAACCAGCGCCCGGGCTAATGGAAACGTGTCCGGCACTATAAGCACTCAAGTTACCTTATCAAACATCTCAAAGAGCTTGGCACTGGGCTGGTGAATGGTGCAGATGATTGTCCGTCCTCCCAGAGCCAGAGACTTCATGAGGGAGACCACCTGGTAGCAGGACGAGCTGTCCAGACCACTGGGGCGCAAGGAGAGACAGGAAACCAGACAGATCGATGTGTTAGAAACAGCTTTTCGGCATAAAAAAACAAACCACTGATATTGATGCAGTCTGGAACCCATTCATTGATACATTTAATTCATAACCCTCAATCCGATCTCAGCCACCTCCCCTTTCTACTTCTTTAAGGTCATGCTACTATTTACATGCCCCCCCCTAAAATACATGACTATTATATTGTTACTCATATCATTTTAATTATAATTTTGTCATTTATTACTCTCTTTTTGTCTAATCCCTCAAACGCACACACAGACACACACACAGACACACACACACACACACACACACACACACACACACACACACACACACACAGACACACACACAGACACACACACACACGCACCAAAATGGTCACCTACTGTAGTAATGACCTCTGTAATCGAGAAACCATAAAAAACTACGACGCCACCCTTTAAGAGACACAGATATGGGCAAACTGTGTGGAAGATGCCGTAGGGACACAGCTTTTAAGTTACATTACGTACAACACAAAAGAAAGAAAGACAATCCTAGTTTGTTTATTATATTATTTGTGTTTTGTTTCCTTTGTTTAGATTTGTTCGACTATTGCAAAGGCCTATTTTCTTTGTTGAATGTGTGTGGAAAGCTTTTTATCCTTTTTTTTAATCAACAACGAGACGCAGGGGTGTCAAACTCAAGGCCCGTGGGCCAAATCCGGCTCCCGACTCCATTTTATGTGGCCCGCAAGAGCTTGCAAAGAATATCATACGTTTATTATATAGTTACATGCCACTTTACAGAAGCAGGTTGCCCATAAACTACATGTCCCACAATGCATCTCGTTATGTGACATGCACACTGAAGAGACTTGCAATTATTTGCCCTAGACTTCTGCTTTCAGACGTAGTTAATTATGGAGTTATTACACTATCCGATAATAATCCAATGCAGAGGCAATAATGTAATATAATACATTATTTTATATATATTATATATATATATGTATATTTATATAGTCTTAAAGTTACAACCTTCCCTTTGAGTGCAACCATAATGCTGATGTGGCCCACGATGAAATTGAGTTTGACACCCCTGATCTGAAGCCAAACAAGCAATCTGAGGTAAACCAATGAATTAAAAGATAACGCATTAGAAATGTCTAATTTTAAGCCGCGAATACATGCACCCTTTAATCTGGAAATGAAAATACACTCCCTCAAAGCAGCTGAATATTATCCTACCTGGTGGGTTCGTCAAAGAACATGACGGGCGGGTTGTTGACCAGCTCCAGGGCGATGGCCAGTCGTTTACACTGACCTCCAGAGATAGCGTTGGTGCGTGTCTGAGCGCACTCCTGCAGACCCAGAGCCGTCAGGATCTCATCCACCTGCACACACACAGAGACGGATGTTCGTACATGATGACACCTAACTGATGAGAGTGATACAAATGACTTTCATGGTGTGAGTTTCATTGACAAATACGGGCCTCTTTGTTTGTGTTGATTCACCTTCACTGTGACAGTAGAGGGTGAATTAAATAGTAACTTATTTGTATGATAAGATCTTTAGTACATATACATATCAGTTCATGTAAACGGTGCCTGGTCCCTTACTTTAAAAATGATAGACATAAATATACATATTTTTATTTTCTATTCAATTTTTGCCGATAATTCATGTGTGTTTTAGTGTTTTAATATGGACTAGGGTAGTGACATATTTTCTTTATTTTATTCGACAACCTGTACACATCTATTCCAGATTTAATTACAATTAGATTTGTTTTTCTCCAGAGATACATTTGGTAAAGCTGTTCCTTTTAGAAAAGCATACATTTTTACTTCTTTAGGTTTTGGGGAGGATCCACATAACAAGCAAATAGACTCATTTTGAAGTTAATGTTGTTGCTTTGTTCTACATTGAATAGGGGTATGTATGAAACTAAAGCCAAGAAGGACCTCGCTGTAGAGAAGATGGACATCAACGAGGATTGTTATCAATAATATCAATATTATGTTATTATAACTACTGAAAGAACCAGATGAAAAGGCCTCTAATGGCGTATACAGTGACACAGATAGCTTAAAAAATGTATGTTGATAAACAAATCCTGTAAATCCATTATAACCATACATTTGGCTGGCTCATCAATATGCAATTACACACATGACAAGATATTAAATGGATAGGTACTTTGCTATACTTATATATGTATTGTCTTCCATGGTTGAAATATTGCAATGTAAATACAATCAATATATATTCAGACTTACAAGTTCCTTTTTGACCTGCATGGACTCGTTCAGCTTCAGATTGGCAGAAACCTGAAGACAGAGAGAAGTCGGCACGTTAATATTCCACATTAGGATTTAATGAGGTGTTTGTTTTCTGTTGGCTTTAGAGGACATTACCATCATGGCCTCCCGCACAGTGAGGTGAGGCAGCAGCATGTCGTCCTGCATGATGTAGCATGACATCTTCCTGAAGGTCCTCAGGTCCCTCGGCCGGCCGTTCACCTTGATCTCCCCCTTCATGCCCGTCTCTCTGTTTCAGAAAATATAATGATATTGTTAGAAAAATATCACTCGTGACCGGCTTGAGCTTCAATAATCAGGATCCTTGTATTTATTATCCTCTCAAGAATGGAAGTAGTCATCACATACAGAGCATCAACTAGTTCCTGAACAGTGTCCTTCACATGCTGATTTACAAGAGAGGGAGTTACACAGTCACAAGATGGAGGAATAGAAAGCAGTATTCAATGTTTAGTTCAGATTAGCTCCACGTCAGAAATGAGCATGCTTGTCATGTCTCTCTCCATAGAGGCTGAATCATCATGTTAATCACATAGCTATCATATGCCTAAAACAGTCCTGATGCTCTTCTAGGTAATCACACATCCTGTCATGTTCACAGCTACAGTTGGGATACCTTTGTTATCATGTGTACTCTCATATTGGAAGAGCACATTCAGTATTTTCCCAACAATATTGCTGCCATTTTCGAAGCTCTAAATTAAATCAAAAGTACGATTCTTCTAATCTATATCTTACCTGTACCCCGCCAGGATATTCATCAGAGTGGATTTCCCGGCTCCAGAAGGACCCATGATGCCGATCAGCTCTTTGTTTCTGAATCTTCCAGACAGACACTTAAGTAAGGCTTTGTAACCTGACAAAGATAGAACAAATATATATTATTTATAGTAGTGACATTGCTCTGAAATTGCTCTTATCAATCACTCTCAGACATTTGTATGTAACTTAATCTAAAACAATGAGCTTTAAAGTGATTTGTTATATGTTTCTAGCCAATTTACTAGACTCTAATTCATATTTATTGTGTGGAAAATATTTCTAGTGTCTTTTTCACGTTCAGCAATCACGGACAAAAAGGAGACAATATTGGAAAAAGGAAGCAGGGTGAGAAAAGTTAAAAAGTTAAGCACAATAACAATAAAACATGTAATATAAGTGAGAGACAAGTCAACGTGTTACTGAAAGCATGTTTTACTCACACATTACAGGGCAGAACAGGGCAACTATTGAGGTATGAATAGGTTTTAAATGCCATTTTCTTAATCTCTTTCATTTTTTGTAAAGCACTTTGAATTGCCTTGTGTTGAAAAGTGCTATATAAATAAACTTGCCTTGCCTTGCCTTGCCTTGCCTTGCCTTGCCTTGCCTATGAAATGACATGTATCGTTTATTTACACCCTATATTCTTCCATTGGTTTACAGTGTACTCATGTGGGAAATTACTGTAGCAAAAGAAAGATTTAGAACCATGAGAATGGATGTGTGCTCCTAACACAAATAAAACAGCTGAGACAATATTATTTTACATCCTGTATTCAGTTTGCTTTTACCCAACAGTTATAGAAGTCATGGTCCATCTGCTTTATCATGTATGAGTCTGCTCATTTAAATATCGCCTTCATAATATGCCAGTGAAAAAATAAAGCAGGTTGAAAAGCAGAATAGCAGTCGAGTGTAATGAGCTGTTTCTATTGTTATCACTTACTGAGCTGTGTTGCACGGGGACACAAGTGTTTCTGCAGACCATTATGCAGACACTGAGCCTAATTTCTCTCCAGCAGAGAAGGTCACAGCCTATTAAATCTGAGTACAAGGAACCATGATGCAAGGCCACTGATGCTGCGGATCTGCAAAATTAGCAGGCTACACTACAGCAACGGTTTTAAAAATAATCTAGAAATGGTGTATTTTAGGAGCAACAATCAGGTGGATAGATAGTCTGAAGTGTAACACCCAACCCACTCAGGTAACAACCCTCTTGTATGCAGTAGGCACCCTGTGATTGTGGGGTTTTTCCCTTTCCTGTTGTGTGTTATGTGAGTTTTTGTGTGCATGTAAATGGTCTGCAAAGGCTGAAATCCCAAATTTCCTCCAGGGAGTTTCTCTCCAACAAACTACATATGTAAGGCAAGGCAAGGCAAGTTTATTTATATAGCACCTTTCAACAAAAGGCAATTCAAAGTGCTTTACAAAAATTGTACATATTTATTTATGTAATATATTTGTTAAACAATTAATTAGGAGAGTTAGACGGACACATTTGTGCAAGCTGTTATTTATGTCTAGGGAAAATAAATAATTCAAGGTGAAGTTGGTTGCGGAGAATACAAAGCTTGCATTTTATGTAGCTGGGTATCAGGTGTGCTGCGAGACATTACTGTAAAACAGAACTAAAAAAAATATATATATATATATATATACAAGACTAGATCATTGCTCCCAAAGTGGCGCCAGGAGATGCAAGCTGCAGCGGTTTTCAAAAAGATTGAAGTTGTGTGGCTTTCTAATGAGGATGGCTCAGGTTTTAACCCTTTCAGAACTGACAGATTCTGAAAGCTTCCGGATATGGAAAGTGCAGGAGCCTTGTAGTCACCCCGTCTCCCTCGCCTCACCCATTTCTCCACTGTCTTCAGGGATGCTTCCTCCTGTCTCAAGCGTTGTAATTAGGGTCTCAACAGAGCCGCCAGCCCCCTCAAACCCTCACTCTGGGAGTAAAGTATAGCCTAATGGCCCCCTCCTCCCACGCAGTGTTATTACATCAGACAGCCTCCACTCAGACAGCAGAGCAGCCTGCTGTCAGGAAGCAGCCCTGCTCCGACATGTGCTGCACACCGATGGTCTAACCCGGTGCTGGAGGTTGTGCATAATAATGGACTTATCTGTGAGAGCCACAGAGGAAACAGCTCACCTCACTGTCAAAGACGCGGCGATGTAACAGCATGTGACAGTGTACATCCAGTCTGATCTCACAGGATGTTTCACAGTAATTGTTAGACAAATGATTATGAGTCACAATGGAGGTGGATGACACCGTCAAATTGGTTGTTTGAAAGAGATGTCAACTCAAATCTCTCACTTGGATTATAATGTGTTCAAAAGTAGTTATTTCTCTCTTTTTCAATGAATAGTTTCTTTACTACATTTCTTTAAAGGATAGACAAATCTGGCGAGTTGGCTCAATGATAACATTTGCTGGAATGCAATTAAAATACTAGTACCTTTTTTATTTGTACATATTGTATTATTTACCTTGTTAAACAAACTATATGCAAACATCCAAAAGGTAGTGGTTGCTCCTTGAATCTAATCCTTTTCGCCCCAACACAATCATAACCTGTTTACATCAAATGCAGTCATGTGCACATGATAGATGTTTAAAAGGCTAGACCACAGATTAAGCATGCACTTGTATGTACTTTTGGATGTAGATGTGCAATAATTTATCATATTTTTCCCCCTACACTGTGTTTTTCCTTATCAAAACCTTGTGCCTACAAAACCAACAGTGCGATCAGTTCTGTTGGAGGATCAGGTGCATTATGCTAGTCTAGTTACAGAGGTGTGATACTGTCTGCAGACTTTTTTCTAACTTGTCTCAACGGGCAGATTTTCCAAAACATGGTCTCAGGCTCCAACTGACGCTGTCTCAAGTGACATCACTAGAGACAATTTACCAGATTGCACAGCACCCTCTGGAGCCAAAAGAGGTTTTATACAACACTTTGAATTACATGTAACAGGCTTTGATGTGTAAAAGTTGGAGGTCTCTTTTAACCTGTTAAGCAATGAGCCTGTTTTTCAGGTTTCAGGCTCGAAAATGACATTCCCAGAACAAATGACCATAACTACACTTCTAAAAGGGGAAAATTAATCATATTTTTTCTCAAAGCAATGATAAACCTGTGAGTTGGATGTAGAAAAGTCAGAATCAATATAGATGTTTTTTTAAAGAAAATTCAGATTGCACATAGTAAAAAACTGTAAATTATAGTGTCCGTCCAAGAATGATTTTTTACTTATAGTGAAAACTACCCTTGGATGATGGTAAAGTAGACTAAAAGCTTTAGGAATCTAAAGTACAACATATAAGTACCCTGTATCAAGATTGATGCAAAACAAGTGACATTTGACCTTTTTAGAGAGATTTAGCGAAAAAAACTCCACCTCTGGTGATTTGGGTGGAAATGGGCGTTTTTACTGTTTCTCTGGAACCCATTGGTCGATTTTGGTGATTGACATCTCTTTTTAACCGTTAGAGCCAATAGAATCGAAGGGGAATTTCCACATAGACGCACACGTTAACACAAAAAAAGTGGGGGCTTTGCGCATACAGTTTTGCATGAGAGCGAACCTAGCTCACGCTCTGACATCTGAAAAAGGAAAAGTTGGTTTATTGCTTATGGATTATCAGAAATAATTTCAAAGGGACACAGACACATTGGATTAACCTATAGATTAACCTGCAGCAGCGTTTTTATCGTTGTAATGCCATTGAAGACCACTTTTGACCAGACAACGACCAAGGTAAGCCATTTTGCCGTTTTTAGCTACCTAGCGCCACATGTTTTGATGTCTGTTCTTGTTAATATCTTCGCAAGTTCTTATCATAGAGTGATGATGTATGTACCTATCGATTCTGTGTCATCTCACGATGCTAGGCGATATGTTGGATGTGCAGTTAAGATAAGTAATAAGGGTGTTATGAGCAAAGTTGGGTGTAACGCGTTACAAAGTAACACGTTACTGTAATAATATTACTTACGTCGGTAACGGAGTAGTGTAACGCGTTACTTTTATAATTCAGTAATCACACTACAGTTACTAACATTGCCCCGACACGCGTTACTTCGTTACTTTTATAAAATAATCACACTCACTGACAGACAAGAGGGGTTTCCGCCGCAGGTTTATATCGGTTTATATACATGTAGGCCTATGTAATCTGCGCGATTTGCGAGACCACATCTCCACGTGCAGTGCTGCATAAACATGGCTGAGTCTTTTCATCTGTAAACTCCCTCAACGGGGCCGCTCGCTCTCTTTTGTTGATCACCCTCTCACGGGTGAACAGTTCAATGTCCCGCTTCATTGTAGGAATTCTGCCATGTCTCTACCACTTTAGTTTGACCATCTCTGTTACTAAGTTATGGAATACTAAATAAATAAGTAATTAGATACCTTACCGTTATGCGCTCATAAAGAATGATAAGAATAATGCGTCTTGAACTGGTTTAATTAATTAGTGTATTTACGTTTCACAGACTGTTAGTTTGTTGTGGTAGGCTGGTAGCCTATTTTAGAGCATATAAAAAGAAAGACTTGTGTTATGTCTTCCTTAATGCAATAGTAATTGGGGGGGCAAGTGGAGTCTCGCAGAGGCAAAACTGTGGCGCGCTTACACTGTAGGTGCGCCGCAGTCTGCGTGATCTGCCTGTAGGGAGGGGCGGGCCGGCCCTGCGAGTAACGAGTAAAGTAACGAGTTACTTTATCTAGGGAGTAACGAAGTAGTGTAATATATTACTTTTTTAAAAAGTAATATGTAATATATTACTTTTTTTTAGTAACGACCCCATCTCTGGTTATGAGTGAGTTTCTTTGCAGTAATGCGTTAGCATTTTTCCGCTCGTGGCTAATTCAGAGGCTGAGCGTTAGCATTGTGGGTTTAAAAAAAAAAAAAAAAAAGATCAGTTAGCTGAGTTTCTTCCCGTTACATGGATATAAAACATTCATAGTTTATTAAATATTAAGATGCCCGATTAATGGGCGAAAAAGTTGGAGGTCTCTTTTAAGTAGGGCTATTTAAAATGCAGTTAACTGCATAAATCAAGCCCATTTGAGTCATCATGGTCAGTTGCAAGCAGCTTTAGAGGAAGGACCACATATTTTAAACTAAATCCACACACTGAAGAATGAAAATGACAGGATGAAAGAAACCAAAATGAAACAATAAGATCCGTCTCGCACACTAATTGCAGCGCATAGGTGCGCCGCATTTTCGAGGCCCCACTTAGTCTGCATGATCGGCCTGTAGGGAGGGAGGGCCCTGCTCTGTATCAACTGCAACCATTCTTCACAAGATAGAGCATCACTTGCCTTCTGTTTTACCCTGTCTGACCATAGGTTTAACATTACAGGACAAATAAGCAAACATTATAGTTAAAATAACAATTATTTTTAACTATCTTCAATGTCTTTATGAATGGCCTTCTTTTAATTTTGCTTCATTTATTTAGTTTTTAATTGTGTAAACACTTTGAATTGCCTTGAAATTAGCTATATGGATAAACTAACCTTAACACAACACTGCTTTCATTTCAAATCCAATTAAACCTTATCGTACATTTTCATAACCGTTCTGCAAGAAAATAACACAACGCTGGTGGAGAGGTAATCATAAATCACTTTGTGTCACGGTCATACATTTGAGTTATGGTGTGCAGGCATGGTGATGAATAAAAGTAGCACGGTCGAAGCATGTTAAGTAGAGGATGTGATTTTATCTGTAAGATGACCGCTCTTCTTCTTCCTCCTCACAAATGAGCAATGCAGGTGCAGAGACGCACTTGGAGTACAAAACAAGAGCGGAAATCACCTAAAGGCATGTAAACATCTCCTGCTCTCCTTTCACTCCCTTCCCTTCCCCTTCCCTGACTGGGGTAGTGTTTCACCAGCGAGGAGAATACCTCACCAGGAGGAGAACACCCTCAACATAAAAAGCAGGTCATAGCAACTCCATCCTGATGGGGTTAACGGCCACCCTCGCCAGGAGACACTCACAATAACAAATGGCGGGCAGCTCATACAGCACCTTTATGCCCTTTGACAATAAAATAAACCACTCTACATCCTTTTACACTATCTTCCTCTTGGTAATCTCTTCCAGGTCGACCGCAGACATTTTAAGGAATGACTCATGCATAGTGTGTCAAGGACTTATTCAATTACAAATAAAGTGCATCGTTCACGTCACCGTTTTCCCTCTACAAGCTGTATAATTGCACATAAGTCAGCAGGAATAACATCAAATTAAGTGTTCTTTTAGGGAGTAATCATCGACTTTTTGAGCCGCAGCAGAAAATCAGCCATGTCATTTATTTTTCAGCTTTGATCAGGCAGACAGGAACTGCAGTGGATCAACTCTGAGCTCAGCTGAGACCTAAACACAGACAAGTCCCTCAGAATCTACAGGATGTGTGAATTGTGAGCAACACACTGACTATATTATTTCATGTGAGTGGCAGAGGTAATCGCAGGGCAGACAGGGGTTATGAGGAGCACGCTGTATGTGACAGGGGGGTTTGGGAAAGAGAGTGGGAGCATCTCAAAGGCAGCGCTTCATTAGTAAAAGCTGAGACGCTTCCTGCTCACACATCATCAGCCTGATGATGCACTTTATATGTCGTAGCTGTTATATTGTACTGCCATTTGGTAAACACTTGTATATGCTGATATTTGGTTAAAAAGAACACAATGTTGCTCTCGGAGGAGATTCAGGTGATAAGATGGGGGGGGGTTACCTTGGTTGGTGATTGGCTAATGGTTACACAAGCCACAAAATCGTTATGACATCACAAAGTGGCCAAAAACTCATTTTCAGACAGGTTTTTATAGAAATGGATCAGGACAAAGAGTGAGCAAATCTTTTTTTCTGAAACTTTCAGAATCTCTTTCCACACATGTTTATAAGAGGCGGCTGTGGCTCAGTGGATAGTGTGCTGGACTTCGAATCAGGGGATAGCAAGTTTGAGTCCCACTGCAGTCAGCATGTCGTTGTGTCCCTGGGCAAGACACATCACCTCAAATTGCTCCTGTGGGGATTGTCCACAGTGCTGAATAGTAATAGTAAGTCGCTTTGTATAAAAGTATCTAACAAATGACATATAATAATAATAATAAGAGACATGAAAAGGTGGGTTTTGCATAATAGGTGACCTTAAAAGGGAAAAAACATGTGCATCAAAAAGCTTTCTCGCTGTGATCCTCCTCATGAATGCTCTCCATACATTCAGGTTCTAGAGCGAAACTACAAACACTCCTGCGCCGGGCTTTCATGATGCACATCAATATTACACAAGACTGAAAATAGCATCCTGTAAGGGCCTCCACTGTGTGGTGGGGCAACGTCAATAAAGGAGTGCTCTCGAGTCCCCACCCTGCTAAATATACAGAGAAGAGAGGGTTATAGTGTACAGAGTGCTGGTTGAGTTGACAAGCAAAGATGAGCAAAGGTTGGGGGCTCATCATCAATAATGGTGGTGGGTTGGAATGTAGTTAATATTTCATGAGCCGATCAATCGTGGGGCTGCCACCGCCCGGTCAGACCACACGGGGAAAAGAGAGGAGAACAGTGTGCCAACCTGAGAGCGTAAATTATTTACTATGTCTAAACTCTGCTGAGCGCAGCAAAGCTCAGGCCTGCAACAACATGGTGGAAAAACTGCAAGCGTGTGTGTGTGTGTGTGTGTGTGTGTGTGTGTGTGTGTGTGTGTGTGTGTGTGTGTGTGTGTGTGTGTGTGTGTGTGTGTGTGTGTGTGTGTGTGTGTGTGTGTGTGTGTGTGTGTGTGTGTGTGTGTGTGTGTGTGTGTGTGTGTGTGTGTGTGTGTGTGTGTGTGTGTGTGTGTGTGTGTGAGCGAGCGAGCGTGAGGAAAGGGCTTGGCTACATGTGTCCGAACAAAAGAGCAAAGCAACAGAGACAGCATACCGCTGAGGGGAAATAATATTTTTCTTAACTGTCACAAAGGCTATTAAATGCCTCCCGTGAAATGTCTGCTCTCCAGATATCGATCACCATGGGTGGTGCTCGCTTGCTCCTCATCCATCATGGTAACTATGTGTGAGCTGTGTACAGTACCTCTCCTCCTCCACCAGGGGCCCTCCCGGATGGTGTAGGACAGCTCGTTGAACTCCAGGTCCACAGCAGAGCGGCGTGGGAGGTGGGAGAAGCGCTGAGCCTCCGTGATGTGGTTCTCCACCTTCTTCAAGTGGATGAGCAGCGGGGCCTCCGAAGGCGCTCCACTGGGCATCTTGGTCTCCTCCATGGGGATGCTGACGGGGACCGGATCAAGAGTCCTCTCAGCCATGATGAAGGCTGCAAGGAAGACAAACATGGCAGTGTTTAAAACTGTTTCCACTCCATAGAAGGAGCCTCATATCCTTACGTTTTTATCTATGGAGAACATGAGATGCTGATTATGAACCTTCAAGGTGCGTTGAAGCTAGGTCAATAATTAAATTAGTCAATAATCAGGACAAAATGTCGTGGCCAAGGGAACTGAGAAATTACACACCACCACTATGTGCACCATAAATACCATTACCATCATTACAAAACACTCTGCTATATAACATGTGCAATATTATTACTATTATTATTAATAATGTTCGATAAATAACGTGCAATTACGTAACTACCATACGGTTTGTGTACTATACTAAATACTAAATACTGTGACCATCTAGTTATTGAATTGCTCTTTTTTCTGAACTGTTAGTGTATATTATTATTGTGTTGCTGTGTTTATTGTATTGTTGTAACTCTGGCACAACAATTTCCTTCGGGATGAACAAAGTCCTATCTTATCTTATCGATTAATGTTTTAGTTGGTTCATTGGCTGATCCTTTGCAAACCGGTGCCTCAGCAGATGTGTGGTAGGTTGCAGAAATAGTTTTAGGATGACTCAGACACCATCTTGAAACAAGGTGATGGATTTGATCTGATTACACTTCATTGTATGGACTGGCTGAGGGGAATGAGATTTTAAGTGTGAGGGGTTGGGATCTGGTTTCAGTCCTGCAGCATACTCAATCTGCTGATTCACATACATTTCCTTCTAGGCAAGGCGGCTCGTCTGAAGTGTTTTTTAAACCATAGTGCTGATCCATTAGTTTTGTAATGCTAGGAAACTCTTTCTTCTTCTCAATATTTCCATACTGAAGATGTGTGATAGTGGCTGAGTCTTGTTATTATTTCATTAATTCAACAACAGAAAATATTCCTTTATTAAATGAAGGAGGATTATGTGCATGATTCAAATGAGTAAGTAGTCCGAGCTGTAAAGAGCCTTATGGTTGAAAGTGTATACCAGGTCATGTTGAAATGCAATCAAGTAATTATATGTGAGATTCATTGTAAAGCAACTGTGGGAATGGTGTGAAGTATTAGGAAAATAATATCAAAACCACCTTTTTGTGTCCAAACAGTTGGAAACACCTCATATTCATTTACATGCAGGCCTAAGATTGCCATCAAAATGCTACCCCAACCAAATAAATGATAACGAACCACAGAAATAAACACAACAATGGCTGTGTGGGTCCGAGATACATTACTGAGGCTTCGGTTTTTACAACATATTCACACAATTCATCTCCTGCCAAAGTTAAGATTAGCTCGGGTGCATTTATCCTCATAAAAAGATCCTCTTGTGACGCCATTCATGTCAGAATCAAGGTGGTAAATACCGACTGACATGGCACAGTCAACACTGTATACACACTGCTATGCAATGCCACATAGTCTTGTATTGTCCATCTATCCTTGACCAATGTGCAGTAAGATCTCCTCATGTGAAGAGGCCCAGGGAAGGAAATTGACCATGGCTCCTATTGATCACCCTGCCATTAGTGAACTTCCATTACCAGCCTGCATATAAGCTCAGTAAAACCCTGACAGGCTTTAATGGCCTCTCCGTCAGATTGGAGGCCTCCTTGTTCTGTCATGCCGCCCTAAAGCTGGACATGTGAGCACACACACGGCCATCATTTATTAAGTCTCCCATATGGGGATGAAATATGGTTATTAAATGTGGCTTTGCAGTGGTGTGGCGACTCTGCAGTGACTTCAGAGCAGGGATGCTGCCAGCTCTCCAAAAAGCACCTGTTAACAACAAACTGAGACACTATTTATGCAAAATAAGGAACAAATATGCATTTAAAACAAAGGTGGGTCATATGATTCTGAGGACAAATATAAGGCTTTACCAGTCAGTCCCTAAAATGTTTTGCATTGCACACACACACACACACACAAATTGCACATACTTCTTATTGTGTTGATAGGTGAGATGCTCCTGCGTCCTCCTCTCTGGTTCAGAGCAACAGTGCTCAGTTGATCCTTTTAGTCAAAACGGCACAATCCCGCCACATCAGAAGATCCTCCAAAAACAGTTAGTCAGTGAAAACACATAAATCAAAAAGAAAACAAGATGCTCATGTGCGCCACAGTCCAGGAAAAATCCGGTTCGGTTGACAGGCGTTAGAGCTGTTTGATCACCTTATCAATATATATCGGGGTGCGGCGTGCACCATCTCGCATCCACTAAAGCAACTCGTGAGATTAAAATCATGTCCGGCCTCAAACTACGACTGCATACCCGAGAATCGTCAGGGGAGCAGGATGCCTGTCATGGTTTTCCTCCTGGCTAAGAGTATTCCTTTCATTGAATCCATCCGATCCGAACTCGCATCGAAATACTCTCACACATCCTCAGCAGTAGTGATAATGACTATCTTCAGTCCCGGTGTTAGGGATGGAACAAAAAGAGGCGACCAGCTCTGCAGATGCTTCAGCAGCAGCTCCGTTATCTCTCACCGGGCAGTGCGTCTGTGTGGTACGCACGCCGGTCTGGGATACAGGGCGTTGCTGTTTGCTGGCAGGATGCTACTGGAGGGGGAAAAATAGCGTTTTGGGTTTGAACGTTTCCTCCAAATCCTCCTCCCAACCCTATGTATAATAACCAGGAGTGGATAGGGAATTATGTTATTTCACTTATAGTTGATAATAGTCCATTTTAGGTACATTTAAGGAGGATTCCACATTGATCAAAGGTAATGGAGTGACATAAAAGTTAATTCAAAGTTCATTAAGGTATTTCGGATAAGATTAGCTAATGTAATCAAATTAGCCCCCCAGGTGCCAATTTAAACCTTTTAAGTATATTATGGAGATACTTGAGGCCGCTGTCTCTGGGGAAATGAGATGAAAGGGAATACATTAGGATAAAGCTCTCGTGCGCATTGAAGTTGTTTTTAATTCTCGTGTTTCCATACAGCCTGACACCGATTATCAATTCTATAAACACGAGGAAGGTTTTGGTGAGCTGCCCCGCTGTCTCTTTAAAGGCCGCACCTGCGCAGCTGCCTGGTGCTGATGCTGCAGTGCCCGGGTTATTTTCGGTAAAACTGCCGGGGTTACTCGCGTTCAAGCTGGCCCTCCATGGCTTACATCACCCCTGAGAGGAAATCAAAACCATTTTTAGCCAATCGCACCTGCCTTTTAATCAGAGCAATTTAAAACGAGCCCTTCCGTCGCATGAGCAACTTCAGCACAGCAACCTCTCTCTCTCTCTCTCTCTGTGTGCCTCCGAGCCTCCATGGCTGTATGACCATTTTGTTAGACAGAGACACATCAGTGCAACACCTAAATACATCATACTAAGCTTAAAGACTGTTTTGGTTTGTAAAAAAATATTATTTTGTTGTCATTTTGTCAATAACTCAGCCTTGGTGTGATCAAGTATCGTCAGTATACACAATAAAGACGAATTATTCGTTTCTTGGCTTCAGTAAATAGCCATTTTACACCTTGAGAATGCCACAGCCCCCAGGGACAGGTGATATGCTACTAAAATATATAATTCAACTTAAAAGGGCAAAGACTGATTGCATAATGTAATATTTGCCTCCAGATAACCTTTCTTTATCTCTGTGGGATAAGCTTGAGTTTGCACATATATAAATTATCTAAAAACAACCCTTCTCATACATGCCCTGAGAGAACACATAAAGGCAGATCATGAATCGAATCAACTCAGTGATCATTAAGTCAGAGATACCAGTGTTTCCCTATTCATAAAGCTCAGATTAATAGTGACTGTGTGTCAACATGTGTGAGGTAAGAGCAAACCGTTTTAGTTTCAGTATATGTGAATGTAAATAACTTAACAAAGAGGTCCTTGCAAAGTGACAGGCTGCAGGAATGTGGGTTTGGCCGTCTATAAGTACTGAGTGGGAGTGTTGGATAGACATCTGAAGGAAGAACATCGTACAGGATGGCACTACGAACAACTGCTCTCCTCTCTGTGGGCGTTCTTCTGTTCTTAGCACGAGGAGCTCCAACAGATGCAGGTGAGAATTTAAAGAGGAAATGTAATGCTCATGTTTTTTGTGTTTCTAATGTGACCTGTCTCCATGCTTCAATGTTCAAAAAGGTCATTATTTTTCTCTATACTCATTGTGTTCTCCGCAGCCAACTTCATCTTGAATGATTTATTTTCTAGACATAAATTACAGCTTGAACAAATCTGTCTGTCTAACTCTCCTAATTCATTGTTTAACAACTATATTTTATAAATAAATATATTACATCCCAATAAGGTAATGATTGGGTCAGTGTGTTAAAGGGTCCTTATGTTTATTTTCAGGTTCATATTTGTATTTAGTGCTACTGTGACATGTCTGCATGCTTTAATGTTCAAAAAGCTCTTTGTTTTACTCATACTGCCTGTGCGGATGTCACAGAGGTAAACCAAGGAGTTTCAGGCAGTGTGTGGGAGAGGAACTTTGGTATTTTAGCTTTTGCAGACCATTGACATGCACAAAAACCTATATAACACACTACAGGAAATGGAAACCCCCAAAAATCATAATATAGCCCCTTGGAGAAAATATAACCCTTAATGGGTGACTTTGTGTTCATGCATTACAAAGCGTCACCATACCTGAAAACACCTTTGTGTGCAGGTCCGGCGACTCTCCCGCTCAGACTGACTGTAGAGAACGACCTCTCTAACGTGACTCCTGAGAGCCACTTCTGCTCTGTGGTGGAGGGGGGCGTGCTGCTGGGCGCTCTGAGGAGACTGCAGGAAACTCAGCAGGACTTCAAGTAAGACCCCCCATGACATCCTCTTTAATATCTCTGCATGACATCCTTTAGTATTTTCCTTTCATGGCAGTTTCTACTTAAACTCGACTGAATTTCAAAGGGTGATATCCACTATAACTATTGACAGCGTTATAATAGTTACTATTGTCTTTTTATATTTTTGCACAGATATCCAGTAACAGTTCATTCAAGTACAGCTGGCACAATTCATCCACCAATAAGTCGCTTGACAGAAAATCTATTTATATTTATTTTTGATATTTGATGCCAAGTCATTTTTTTGCATTTGAGTTTCCGGATTGAGGGGATTTGCTGCTTCTCCGTGTTTTTGAAGAAGCTTGAGGTTTGGACTGTTGGTGAAATATAATGTGATGGTGTCACCTTGGGCTGTGGGTAATTTGTCATTTCTCACTATTTTCAAAATGGATTGATTAATGAAGATAACAAATCAGTGAATAGTAAAAATATTCATTATTTGCAGTAACATTAGCTCAAATATACATTTTTGAATGGAAACAGTGACATTTTTTCTGCATGGAGTACTTTTAATACTTTAAGTGGACTACATGTTCCTGATTATAGTTACATAACGTAACACATTGAATGCAAGACTTGTACTTGCATATATAATTTGTGTTTGGTATTTATACGTTTACTATAGTTCTGTTGTAGATAGAGATAGTTAGTACTTTATTGATCCCAATTTGGGAAATGTTTGCGTTGCAGCAGCATAGAAAACAAGGCATAAGAGAAATTAAGACAAGAAATAAACAGTCCAAAATATTTATGAAATAGAAATAAAATAGCTTTAAAAGTTAAACAAAAAAATATATATACATGGATGTGGAAAATATACATGTGGAAATACAACTTTCCAGAAACTAATATAATGCAGGATATTATTGTGCAAGTAATGGATTATTCAAAATGTATTGGGAGTTTAAGTCCAGTTACCCTGACTGTGTGTGTCCTGCAGGTTCTCGGTGAGGCAGGACCCAGACTTCGGCCTGCTGCTGCTCAGTGTGAACGGAGTAGCAGCAGACGAGCGCGAGCAGACGTACTGGGAGATCCTGTCAGAGAGCTCCGGAGAGATCAGCCGGCTGGATGTGGGTGAGTTGCATCCCCAGAGATTTAATAAAACACATCTGATTTAATGAGCTGTAATGCGGGAGGAGAGTTGGTTGCGTTTTCACTTATTGTCCCCAGGATATCCCCTGGTGTGATTTTTCTAAAATAGTAGTGTAGACACAGTTATATATTTGAGTGATTTTTGTTATTCTGCACAGGTGGTGCAACTATTGGTTATTTTAAAGTGCTTCCTCAGAGTTAAATGATGTATCCTCATTATCTTCTATTGGCTATTAATGCAAGAACACTGATGATCTGAGCACTTAGTTCCTCTCAGAATCTGTGTTTGTGTATTCATTAAAACGTCATTGTCTCCGATCCAATCTCTTCTCTTTTCACAGGAATCGGTTGCTACAAACCCAAAGCAAATGAGCACATCATCCTCAGGTTCAGCAGCTGGACCCAACAGTGATGATCAAGCTGACGTGTTGAGCAATAACATGTAGAAAACAATCAATCAATACATTCATTATATATATATATATAATTGTTTCATGTTTGCCATTTATGATTATCAAGTGTTGAGACCTGATGTGTGAGAATAAAAGAAACAGCAGCATCTAGTGGCAGTCAGGAGGAATGTCCTTTACAAATATGTATGTTGATTGGAAAAACACATGCTACATTTATATATATTTTGTTTGTGACTTCTCCTTTGAGTTAGTTATGATAACATATGATGTTAGAGGTTGGTAGGGGTTTTAGAAATAAATACAAGACCAGCAATTGTTTTAGAAGAAATTCCAGGAAGTGTACTTCCAATCCGTATGAATGCAGAAAGGTACATTAACACTGTTACAGTGGAATTGTTTTTTAGCTTATACAACCTAAAGTTAAAAAAACCTATTACAAATTCAGGAAGTTTTAAAATGTTAGATTTCCAAAAGAAACATACTCTGTCACAACTCAAGAAGGTGCTGGAATAAAACAAGAATAAAGATGAATATGCTGCATTGCTGAAACATTAATGAATTGTTTGCAATTGAGATTGAGGTGCTTTGACTTTAGATAGGGCAGATTTTTTTTAAAGTTTAAAATTAATCGTTTCATATTTAAACAATCCATGTAAAAGAACACCAACATTTTTATATTTTGGCAAATCTTTGCTACTTTCCACATGGTCAAAACGTTGCACATAATCTACGAAAAAAGGTATATAATCCACAAACTATAACATCAATTTGTTTACAAGTTCTACACCACTCTTCGTGTTGACTCTCCACCCAAAGCTCCTCCCTTTGTAACAAGATTAAGGTTTCATCTCCTTCCAAGACAGATGGACTGAGAGGCTAATCTCTGAGCTTTCACTTCCTTTCTCCTTGGATTTATCTGTATTTCATTCCTTTCTCTCCTCGTAGAAACAAGTTAAAAAGAGCAAGTCAGATAACCATAGCTTGAGTTAGTTCAACCATCTAGAAAATGCTGTCCGAGCAACGTTATGATGTCACTTGTCTCCCCAAAACCAGCTTCCTATCTAAAATAAAACAACATCTGGCTCTCCACGTTAAACTTTTTATTTAAGACAATATTGAATTCTATTTCAAATAAATATTTGACCCAAGTCTGACACAGCCTCTCAGAGACTGTTAAAAGTCACCCCACTTTCTTTTCATGACCCGTCTGCCACCTCACGTGACACAAATCGACTGAATCTAGCAGTTAATATTTCCTGACACGGAGGGATTTGAACATGAAATCTTTTAGTCACGGTGTAAAATCCTTAAATAAAAACCAAGAGGAAATTGTTAGCTTCTGTGTGGCAGAGATATAAAAGCAATGTCTCAAAAGATTTGGATTTAAGTCCTCTGACTTTCCACAAAATAGGATGAAGCAGCAAAACATGCGTGGCTCTGCAGCGTACAAGCTGTCATTGTGATCACATTTTAAGCAATAATTAACCACATGGAAGTGCATTGGCAGTGAGACAACATCGCAACATGGTCTCCTTATACAGTTCGTCCTTTATGTTTGACAGAGTGGCGGGGAAGCAACTCACCACATGACAAAGCACATTCGCATATGCAAGGGACACACTGTGCAAAGAACCGCTTCCAGCCGGTCTCTTTGCCCCTGCAGTTGTCTAACCGAGAGCAGCCCAGTTTTGGAGGGCCGAAGTAGCTCTTGTTCTCACAGGTGGAGTTACACGTCCCGTTTAGTTCCCTCTCACTGACCTCAACGCGTCCCTGCTGACACATTCCTGAAAGACAGAGAGAAATCACATGATGAGATCAATTGAATTATTACAAAAATAAGCAAAAAGGAATTTAAAATATCGCTGATCACACAAATCCCTTCTTTGTAAAATCACATTCTATGAGATGAAATGGTATATTTGAATATATGTAAATAATGTTCAGAGCTAAAACAAAGTCTGACAGTGTACAAAAGTATTTTCAATACACGAGTACAAAATTAAGCTTGCCTTACAAAGAGCTAAAAGAAAAAAAGGGAATACAAATATGCTGTTGGGATTATATTATAGAACAATGCTAACACAAATATTATTCTTCTTCTCTTTTAAAGCTATTTTTGAGTTCATAATTTGTTTTTATAAGGAGGTAGGACAGGCATATTTAAGAATGATGCTTCTGCCTGTGGCTTTTCAGTCATATTGTAGCAAATAAATCCCCAATAAATTGAGACGCTAAGAGGCTAAACTTGGATTCAGAGCGGTGATACGTTCTAAATAAAAGTCTGTACTGAAGTTAAAGTTATACAAAGGTTTAATAAAGAAAACAAAACAAACAATAACCAAGATTAAACCATATGGTCTACCTACTTTAGGTTCATAAGAGTCCTTGTGTGTCCTTGAGCTCAGGTTAGAAGGATTTCATTACACTGTAGCTTTTTGCATATGACAATAAAACCTTTGAATCTTGTGTTTGGTGTTTGCTCACTGAGGCAGGTAGGTCTCGGGGTCCAGAGGCCGTCAGACTGGCAGGTTCTGGTCGGGTTCCCCACCAGCATGAAGCCAGGGCGACAGGTGTACCTCAGCACAGAGCCCACCCACCAGTCGGTACCAAACACCTGTCCGTTATAGTCCACATCAGGCCTCCCACAGTTCACTGCCACGCAAAGGAAAGGCAAAGCATGGCACACAGCTATATCACTACAAAAACTCGAAATCTTGCCAAGTATATTTGTCTAATATCTATGTCTTTACACCTGATATAAGACATAATAACTTCAGAAGTAAAACTGCAGTGAGATATCTGGTCTTTTTTTTTTAGACAATGCATCATCTTGCTAAGTCAAAACATCCTATTTTGAGTTGTATCTCAGATGAAACATATTTTTTTACATATTTATCAGAAAACAGAAAACCTTTGAGCATTTGCGGCTCATATTGTAACAACATTTCCTGATTATGGTCAAATATAGTTCAAAATGAGTTCTCCCAGCTAATTACAAGATCTGGTTTATCTAAATATCCCGTCTTATTTCAAGAAATCTTACCAGGCAAATGTTCTCTTGTTCTATTGGCAGATGTCGGTACCTGTACTTGTTTTCAATATTGTTTAACTTGTTTTTGGAGCAGCATTTCTTCCAGTGTACCAGCTCACTCAGACAGATGGACTCAAGCTCAAAAGAGTGTCGGACATTGTTGTGGTTTTCTCACCTCTGCACAGGGACTTGTATCCGAGCCAGCAGCAGCTCGAGTCTCCACAGCGGTCCTTCCTCAGCTCCGCGTGTTGAGCCTTACAGCCTCCTAAACAAAGAGGCGCTGACCCGGACCAATAGATGTCCTCTATGAAATCTGGTTGGGAAATCCATACCGTCTCACCTACAGTACAAAATGAAATGTATCAGCTGTTTACCATAGCTGGACAAAACTATGTTTTAATGCAAACCACAAACTGGAAATTATTTCAGGCTTTGCCACAAAGAGTTTTTATTTCTTATACAGAGAGAAAATCTATTAACCAGCCTACCATGGATACATATTGAGGCTGGCCAACATTATCTCTGATCCCAATCATGTACTGAACAGCAAATATATAAAATCAGAGACACAGGGTCTCACGACTCAATACAGTTAGACTAAACCACTCGTGTGTGCTCCAGTCAGTCCTATAATAAAAGTTAAATCCCAGGTGAAATGTACGTCTAAGGGTCCTGAACATAGTGTCTTCAGTGATAGTAATGTGTTAAATGTGTGTTTCCTTGCATCTATGAGTCCTGGTTGATGTTGTGGAGCTGCTGTTATGCAAGGAAAAATGTATCCCGACTTAGATAGCAGACCATGTTTGAAAAAATAACACGATACTTGCATTAGAGGACATCTTACCACTACCTTCCATCTCACCAATCCACCCAGGAAACTGAGAAGTGGTTCTTTGAAAGACCCCGAACATCAGCAGCCACAGTGGAAACAACCTCATGGTGCCCAGCTTCAAGATGCCATCAGTTTCTGTAGAAAAGCTCTAATCTGAAGTCATATTGCTGGCCGACATTATTCCTGCGAAGTCAGCAGACATGAAGCCATTAAAAGCTGTCCCAGTAGAGTGAAGGAGAGCAGAGAGCAGTAAGTCAACTAAGCTCTGCTTGCTTACACACACACACACACACACACACACACACACACACACACACACACACACACACACACACACACACACACACACACACACACACACACACACACACACACCACACACACACACACACACACACACACACACACACACCACACACACACACACACACACACACACACACACACACACACACACACACACACATCACACACACACACACACACACACACACCACACACACACACACACAACACACCACACACACACACACACACACACACACACACACACACACACACCACACACACACACACACACACGTTGAGTAGTAGTATAATTTTTAGTAATAGAAACTTTTGGAGAATTATATAAATGTATCTTTTAGGGGAAAGTATGACATATATATATATATATATATATACACATACAATATTTTAAAAGTAATCATAGCATGGAGCTGTAGTCAAGCAGTTAGATCCAGCAGGGGGCGCTATAATTGAAGTAAAGATGGTGGATACACTATATATTATGTTACCAGTAAATCATGGCCATTAAATAAAAAAGGCATTTTCTGGTATGAAATAATTAAGACATTTAAATCAACTTAATACAAAAAAATAAATGTAGAAGGTGATTTCTTTCAAACATTCAGATTTACTAGTTTATTTGAGTTAGAGATAACGCACTATGAGGTAGGCCCTCTTTGCCACATGCCAGTGGATATTAATGCATTAATCCATTCTTGTCAATCATATCTCACATTTCACCTCAAAGTCAAAAAGTACATGTTTCCATCGTATCTATAGTGCCATTTACTCAAATGTAATGGGATGTACTTCAATAGAAAGATAGTGTGTCCTACATGAAATTGTTCACAACATGTCTGTGGATTATCTTCAGTAACCGGGTCATGAAGGCTGACATCTCTACGACTGATATCACCAACACGCAACAGAAATATCTAAATGAAGAAATAGCACTACAGGTAACAGGAAAATGTGTGTTTTTCAACTAGGGGTGAATTCTTCAATAAAAAAGGCAGCTGTTCCACTTGGCCGTGTAGCATTAATATCCAACCCTTTGAAGGCTTTACAGTATAAACTATAATGCATGAATAATTACAAAAATACTGGGCAAATTTTGTTCCGCACGCTCAATATCAGCAAATAAAAAACACGTAAAACCTAACATAGGTCTTATAGTCCAAATGTCTTCTCATTCTGACGTTTTAAATTATTATTACGTGCTTTCAACCCCCATTAAAGGCTTAGAAACACAACAAGATCCTTTAAACATATATCATGATATGTGAAACATTACAGATTGTCTTCTCGTCTATGGTACGTGTACGCAGGGCTGTAGCAGTCAAAGCACCTGCGCTCCCTGATCACTATCGTGGATCTGCTGCATGTCCTCCTCCTCTGCTGGTGACAAACCCCCCGTGAGGACGTACATCATCCCCTCCTCCTCCTCCTGACCGCCCTCCTCAGCGCTGGCTTCTGGCTCCTCCAGTAAAACCCCTCTCAGTTCTACCTGCAGCTCTGAGGGAGCGGCCCCCGAGGGTTCTTCCTCATTCACGCCATCGTCCTCGTCCTCCTCCCCTTGCCTACTCTGCCGCTCCCTCATCAGCTGCTCGGTCAGCTCCACGCTCTCGTAGCGGATCAGTTGCAGCCGCAGGAAGCCGTCGTCGTGCTGCTTATACCTGGCAGGGTGAGGAAGAGATCATACGTTTGGTCAAAAAGATACAAAATGACTATTCTGCACTATTTCTATTATATTATATTTTATTTACTTGCACTATTATCTGTTTTATTGTTGTTGCACTGTTGGAGGAGCCTGTGACCTAAGATTTTCATTGTCGTAGCTATGAACACATGACAATAAAAGCCTTGAAACTTGAATCTAGACTCACCTGAACCTTGGGTGTCCTGAGGGCCATTTGAACTGGTGCTTTTTGTGCAGGTGAACGGTCAGGTTGTTGCCTCGGGTGAAGCACTGATCGCACACATGGCACTTGTAGCGAGCGACGAAGTTCCCCTGATTACACAGAGGAAACACACAAGTATAAATTACATTTAAAGGTCACCTATTATGCAAAATCCACTTTTTCATGTCTCTTCTACATCAACATGTGTCCCCTCTTCTTCATGTCTCTTCTACATCAACATGTGTCCCCTCTTCTTCATGTCTCTTCTACATCAACATGTGTCCCCTCTTCTTCATGTTTCTTCTACATCAACATGTGTCCCCTCTTCTTCATGTCTCTTCTACATCAACATGTGTCCCCTCTTCTTCATGTCTCCTCTACATCAACATGTGTCCCCACTTCTTCATGTCTCTTCTACATCAACATGTGTCCCCTCTTCTTCATGTCTCTTCTACATCAACATGTGTCCCCTCTTCTTCATGTCTCCTCTACATCAACATGTGTCCCCACTTCTTCATGTCTCTTCTACATCAACATGTGTCCCCTCTTCTTCATGTCTCTTCTACATCAACATGTGTCCCCTCTTCTTCATGTCTCTTCTACATCAACATGTGTCCCCTCTTCTTCATGTCTCTTCTACATCAACATGTGTCCCCTCTGTGGAAAGAGACTCTGAAAGATTCAGGAACAAAGATTCTCTCTCTTTTTGTCCTGATCCATTTCTATAAAAACCTTTCTGAAAATGAGCTGATCAGATTTTGGCCACTTTATGATGTCATAACGTTGTTTGGCTTGTGTAACCATTAGCCAATCAGCAACCAAGGTAACCAAGGTCAGTAGAAGCTGCTGGGTCTCCCAGCAGCTTCTACTGAAGCCTTCAGAGTAAATCGCCAGAATGCCGACACCTCCTCATCACTCCCATGTTTTTTTTTTTTTTTTCCATAAGTTATTCTCTCTCCGTTGGTGCGCGGGGCTAATGCTAATAATGCTGATGCATCGCCCAGCCAATCAGAAATTGGAACTTTTTTCTCCCCAGGAAAGTACCACCTCTCTAGAAGGCACTAAAAATGGGGGTAAAAGTTCTCTGAACTAAGTTCTCTTTTTGGTGTGAACGCAAAATTCCAGGAACTATCGGAACTAAACGGGAAAAGTACGGGTAAAAGTACTCCGATGTGAAAGCGCCTAATGTGTTCTTTTGAACCAAATCCCTCTCAGAGGGGCGTGGGGAGGGGCTCCTTATTTTCATCTAAAGTAACAGACAGAGAATCAGCACTTTTGAAACAGAGGGGATTATGGGATGCTGCAATGATCCGTTTGGTGTTTGGAGCCAAACACTTCAGAGACATGTTCTGTATTTATCTGAGAGCTATAATATATTGATGAAAAACAGTGTAATAGGGTGTATATCGCTGAGTATAAATAACAAAATTGCTCCTGTGGGGATTGCCCACAGTATTGAGTATGTAAGTCGCTTTGGATAAAAGCGTCTAACAAGTGACATGAAATGTAATGTAACAACTATTTTTCACCTCATGCTCCTTTTTGTGGTGGATCTTCATGGTGATGAAGCTTCGGGAAGTGAAGCCACAGCCGGGAACATCGCAGTGAAATGCCGGCTCGCTGCTGTGGGTGTCCAGGTGTTTGCGCAAGTCTACCAGATTCTTGCAGCTAGAAAACAAAGTCAAAGATGGGACTGGGAGTATGAAGAAAACATTCCTTTCAGTGTGTGTTTGGCTTGGAGTCGCTGCAGCTCTGTGTGATACCTGTACTCGCAGTATTCGCAGCTGTACGGCCTCTCGTTACTGTGACGGAACTTTATGTGGTTGCGCAGAGCGGAGGGAGTCGGACAAGTCATGTCACACAGCGGGCATTTGTAGTGGCTCACTGTAGCGACAAGACAACATGAAAAACAAGTGATGAGATTTAATCATCTAGAAATAGTCAATCTGGTCAAAAATGTAATGCCAAGGAACCATGATGAAATGAGTTTTCAATAACTTAATAATAATACATTTTATTTTTAGGCGCCTTTCATGAAACCCAAGGACACCGTACAATTTGTTCAAAAAAGAAAGAAAACGCTAATAGGCAACAGAACATGATAAAAACACAAACAGGAAATCATGGAGGACACAAATGAAACACTGACACTGTTGTTATAACAAGACAGACATCTATCAGAATAGTTTTGATTGAATGCAAGGGTGTCTCTTGAAATATGAAGGCATGGTGTGTCAAAAGGTTGTTGTAAGAGAGTGTGCGGTTCAAACATGCAGATGGATAAACTCGGCACTAACCGTGGGTTCTCATGTGATCTCTCAGAAGTCTTTCTGTTGCAAAACGTTTGGAACAGTGAGAACACTGGAACCTCTGACCTGCAGAACAGAGACAAGCTCAGGATTACTTCAAGGAGACATATTATGCTCAGCTTTTTCACTTACGTCAACCAACGTATCTGTTTTTTTTAGATCTTCTATGGCACACTCATATTTATTCTTGGTATATAAACCTGACAAAAACGGTCCATAATACATTTCAATTTATTCTGTCTTATTTATACCATAGCTATAGTGTATCCATTTTCTAAACAGCTGTTTGTAATGTAATGTATACTGCCTTCTACTGTACGTAATGTAAATACTGTCAGATGTATATATTGATACTATACACTTTACTACTGTTTTGCACATCTGGTTGGATGTAAAATACATTTCGTTGTCTTAGTACTTGTACTCTGTGTAATGACAATAAAGTTGAATCTAATCTAATATTTGCATTTCGAGCCTCATTGTTATTAATTGTCTGATCATGACTCTGGTTTTTACCTTCCATGGCACTCTGTCGTATGATGTGGTCAAAGAACTTGGTGTTGTTTGCATACATCCCCCCGCAGCCGGGACACGCCACCAGCTTCTCCTGAGTGTGGCTGCGCAGGTGCTCCCGGAGCTTAGCACGCCCTTTAGTCGTGGCTTCGCAGTCTGTAAAGTCACAGGCCCAGAACTTAGAATAAACAACCCAACAATCATAGTTCATAGCAGAACATGTCAGCAATCGCAAAGGAAATGGCTTAAACCGGACATATCATATAAAAAACTGCTATGATATAATAAAAATATTTGT